GTCAGCATCATTACTCCAGTCTTCAGTGTCACATGATCCTTCAGAAATCATTTCAATATGCTGATTTGCTGCATATTGAAGTTCTTCTCATTATCAATTTTTCAAACATGTTGTCCTGTTTAATATATTTGTGTAAACCATGATACATGTTTAGGATTCAAGATTAATGGAAAATTAGTACAAAAAAATGCATTTATTTGAAACGGAAATCTTTTGTAAGATTGTCTTTACTGTCACTTTTGATCAGTTTAATGTATCCTTGCTTAGTAAAACTACAAATTTCTAGAAAGAAAAAGTAGTGTAAATGAGAGAATTTAATATTATTTACATGTACATTAAGCAGTAATTAAATTTGTTCAGTCAGTCACTGTGCGTGTTTGTGTGTGTAGGTTCACAGGCAATGCCCCCACCCCGTAAACTGCCACAGCGGTCCTGGGCCGCTTCTATTCCCACCATCCTCACCCACAGCAAACTACATGTTCTGCTTCTGCCGTCATCCATTCCATGCCCAGTGCCAGGGCTGGCGGGCAGCTACCTGTGCTCACCTCTGGAGCGCTTCCTGGGCTCTGTCATCATGAGGCGGCACCTACAGAGAATCATACAGTTAGAACCCAATGTGAGTCAGAAACTGTTAACAAGTTTACAACCACATCATTTAACCAGTCAGATTGATATGATTCTGCTTACTCACTGTATTTGCATCACTCTCGATTACCTTCTCTTCACAGCTCACTATTGTGAACTCCAACGAGCCAGGTGTTATCATGTTTAAGACAGAAGTGCTTAAATGTAGAGTGGCTCTCAACCCCAAAACCTACCAGACTCTGCAGCTGAAAGTCACACCAGAAAACACTGGACCCTGGTCGCAGGAGGAGCTGCAGGTCCTGGAGAAGTTCTTTGAGACCAGGGTAGGAAACGAACTTTTGAAGAGAATTGTAATGTGTATTTTAAAATGGACCTGTTCGTCCTGATTTAACAACACTGGCCTAATGTCATGATTAGGGGCTACCTGTTTAAAACTAGTTAGAAAACGCTTATCTTTGCTATTCTGCTTAGTGCAATTAGCTGTGCAGTTTTTTTTTCTTTAAAGCAAATCAGTTCACTCAGTGGCCTTCTTGGCAATGCCATCAAGTCAGGTATTGTGCAGTTATGCAAGTGCAAGTCATTTTCTTTTACTTAAACCATAGGTTGCAGGACCACCCTTTAAATACAACACACTAAATGCCTTTACAAAGCTGTTGGGAGCTCCAACCAACATACTCAGAGACTGTGTTCGCATCATGAAACTGGAGTTGGTAAGCACATTCATGTTGATTTAATATTACTTTTTTTTTGCCCTTGTGCAAGCATACACTACGTTTCAAAAGTTTGGGGTCAATTAGATTTTTAATGAATACTTTTATTTAGTAAGGATATGTTAATATGGTCAAAAGGGACAGTAAAGATTTAAAATAAATGCTGTTCTTTTGACCTTTTTTAATAAAAAAAAAAAGTATCACTTAATCACTAAATCAGCATATTAAAATTATTTCTAAAGTTTTATGTAACTCTAAAAACTGGAAAAATTGCTCCTGAAAATGTAAAGCTTTAAGCAAAAACCTAGTGTTGCCATTAAAGGAATAAAATGCATAAATATACCAGAAAACAGGTATTCAAGTTGTAATAATATTTCACAATATTACATTGGTTAGCATATGAGACCTCTTTCCAAAACAAAACAAAAAAAATCTTCCTGAACTTTTGAGCTATATTTTACATTTGGAAACTCACTGGCCCATCATTTTTCCTCCAGTTCCCAGACCAAGCGGCCCAGCTGAATTGGAATGTGCAGTTCTGTCTGACCATCCCACCCAGCGCTCCTCCCATCGCCCCACCAGGAACCATTGCTGTGGTGCTTAAGACCAAGATGCTCTTCTTTGTAAGTGCTTCAGTCACTCCTTTCTGGTTTGCAATGTCCCCTTTTACCATACAACCAATTCCCAATGGATAAAATACGATCTCACCATACATAAATAACCATGTCCTGAATTCTGATTATTACACTAATATTCCAGCCATTATACACCCAGCAACTTGTATTTGATCTGTGGTTTAAATTTACTATGGATTCCTAACGTGTATTAACTTGACGTGATGCTCTTTTACAGCTCCAGCTGACCCAGAGACTACCGGTACCCCAGGAGCCCGTCAGCATCATAGTGCCTATTGTGTATGACATGGCTACTGGACTGACCCAGCAGGCTGATATCCCCCGCCAGCACAGCTCCTCGGGAGCCGCGGCCCTGATGGTCAGCTCCATCCTCAGAAGGTTCAATGAGCACCATCCACCACGACAAGGTTCACACATCTGTTTTGTTTAATGTGAATTTTTAAATTGATATGGAAATCAGTATATAATATTAGTCAGATATTTAACATTTTGTTTCAATACTTGCATTTCAATATTAATGCTAGCCTGTTTTTTTTTTTACAGGAGAGTGCACAATATTTGCAGCAGTTCATGAGCTCATGGCTAATCTCACGCTGAACCCTGTTGGACGGTCATGACTTGTTGTCTCTTAGGAAACTTCTCCAGACGATCAGTAAATAACTTGAGGGAAATTCAGGTTTTCTACTACAGCCGATGGGCTCTTCTGCTGGTGTATCATATTGTCATAAAAGAGAGCAGAAATATGATGGAACTTTTTTTTATTGTATTATGAAGCATGTAAATGAATAATTGTGACAAAAGCAGGACTTTCTTTTTTTTTTTTAAATAGCTTGGCAAAGTTCTGCTAACGGATTTATTTTTTTTCCGATGCACTTAAGGAAATGATTGTGATAGAAAAAATGTTTAACTACAGCTGTATTTTTTTATTTGAAACTTTGCAGAAAAATTCTTGTCTTTTTTGTAATACAAGATATCAATACTGTGTAAGTATTGATGTTTTCTTTATCAGCACACTATTTAAATGTTTTTTCTTTGATTGCATTACTTTGATTTCTTAGTATACCTTTCACTTTAAATATGCGTGACAAACCTTCTAAATAAGCAGTGTTTTATTGTTATTCATTGGAATCATGGAAAAGGTCTAAGATTTTTTTTGTCTGTGTTTATTACTATTTAATAAACATTGAAAATAGCTCCATCCTTTCATTAATAACTGCTTGTTTGTTTGATTAAGTTAAATATTAAATATATTTAGAGAACAAAATGAGAACAGTTATCCTTCTCTATGTCTGGCATTTAAAGGTTAATTATTGTATATTATAAGTACTTTTTTTTTTTTTAGAACAATAAGTAATCATATTTAAAATATATTTATAAATTGTTTTGTCTCTTAAGACAATGTTGGTCAAACACACAAAGGTCCATCCACTGAGTGGAGAATTTTACAAGCTAATAAGTAACTAATTCTTATTTATCGAATGTATCACAACTTGTATATAGATCAGTGATGCATCATCTTTTCAAGTCAGAAAATGTCAATTATGAGGCGCATGCAAACTTTGCCGTATTGTTATGTTTAACTACAGCTGTATTTTTTTATTTGAAACTTTGCAGAAAAATTCTTGTCTTTTTTGTAATACAAGATATCAATACTGTGTAAGTATTGATGTTTTCTTTATCAGCACACTATTTAAATGTTTTTTCTTTGATTGCATTACTTTGATTTCTTAGTATACCTTTCACTTTAAATATGCGTGACAAACCTTCTAAATAAGCAGTGTTTTATTGTCATTCATTGGAATCATGGAAAAGGTCTAAGATTTTTTTTTGTCTGTTTATTACTATTTAATAAACATTGAAAATAGCTCCATCCTTTCATTAATAACTGCTTGTTTGTTTGATTAAGTTAAATATTAAATATATTTAGAGAACAAAATGAGAACAGTTATCCTTCTCTATGTCTGGCATTTAAAGGTTAATTATTGTATATTATAAGTACTTTTTTTTTTTTTAGAACAATAAGTAATCATATTTAAAATATATTTATAAATTGTTTTGTCTCTTAAGACAATGTTGGTCAAACACACAAAGGTCCATCCACTGAGTGGAGAATTTTACAAGCTAATAAGTAACTAATTCTTATTTATCGAATGTATCACAACTTGTATATAGATCAGTGATGCATCATCTTTCAAGTGGCGCATGGAGCCCCAAAATGTCAATTATGAGGCGCATGCAAACTTTGCCGTATTGTTACGTTAAAAAGTATACGCGATTAAATCGATTCATTTCTAAATGTAAGATTATCGCCTGATAACCGCATTTCACTTCAGAAATCCTCATCTAAACGAATGTGATTGGCCCATCCTTAACAGCGCAGAGAAAAGTAACCAGAACCTCGTGAAAATTCTATGTATGTGCTGCTTCACTATTGGTTTGTTGAAATTTGTAAACCCAGCTGAATAATATAACTATGAAACGTTAAAGGCAAATGAATTGAAAATACACCATGTTAAAGTTCAAATAAAAAAGAAGCTATTTCGACTCAACGCCTGGGCCACAAGCTCCGCCCATTCAGACACTTGAGTCATAAAAATGTCCATTCTACCCACTTTATTCAATTTCTATGTCAGGTAGTTCAATGCAGATTCACAGAACATTGATACGTCTCGTGGTTTCTCGTCTAGCAGATTTGACCACGCCTTTTATTTACATCTCATGGCGCTGTGTGAATGAACACCTTGGAGAGGAGGACCACTGAAAATCCCCTTTGCAATGAGAGTGACAAACGCCATTAATGGATGAATAAACCAATAAATGCAGTATTAATCATATGAATCCGTGTCACCGCTCCGATTATTACGGTGGTAATGGCAGCTGTGAGTCTGACGGATCCGCTTTGCAAACCTTGCTCTTACAGCCCACGTTTTAAAGGTAATGCCGATCTCTTCAATAATAGTTGCATTTTTATGAAATGATCATCTGACTGAATATGAACACATTCATGTTTTATTTCTCGATTATTTAATATTTGCAGTTGAGGTGTGCTTGAGGAAGCCCTTGATGCCCATCCACCTGAGCAGTGAGCAGGTGGCACTGGAGATGCTGTGTCTCTGCAGCCAGTTGGACTTACTGATCAGAGCTCAGGTCCATCAGGTGAGACACTTGCACTGATGCTCGGATCTTTGAACACTGAAAATACTTGTGTGTTTGTCTCATTCAATGTTTCAGGGGCAGCTCAAACAGGACACAAGTCCTGAAGAGACTGAGTGTTTTCAAAAACAAGGTACGCTTAGGACTAAAATAATAATTTTTACTGGAAATCAAAATGGGTAATTGTTATCAAATGTATGTACAACCTCTGAATTTGTGTGTAGGGGCAGAGATAATATATCGGATGAACCAGTGCCTTGAACATCTCAATGAACCGGTGCTTCAGTTTGAGGTAGCTAATCTCACCAATTAACCATTCCTCTTAAACCAGTTAGAATTTTTGGATGATGTGTTTCCATTTATTTCCATTTCTTTAGGAGTGTTTGGATGTTGTAGGATTATCTACTCTGTTCCCTCGAGTGGAAGTTTATATGATACATGGCAGCCCTGTTGACATGTTGGAAAGACCACCTTCAGATGGTGAGACCACAGAATGAATGGGAGAATGATAATGGGATACAGTTACATTTATTGGCCAATGGTTGACTCGATGTGTGTAATAATGAATAATAATAATAAACTTTATTTGTATAGCACATTTCAAACAAGAAATGTAGCTCAAAGTGCTTTACAAGAAAAAGCATTACAAAAAGCACCAAGTACTTCATATGAAAACATTTAAAAATATCAAAATGTATATAAAATTAAAAATTCACTTTATGATAATAAAAAATAAATTAGTAAACATAAAATGCATAACAGAAATGAAAATAGAAAGCTTCAGAAAAGTAATTTGCTAGTTAAAAGTACAAAAAAATGCATGAAAAATATTTAGCGAGCTCGTCTCCTTAATACATTTATTCTACATGTATAATATATACATTATATTAAAACGAACAAACAGATGATTAAAAAAGTGCTAGAATCTCACTTATTTGCTCCTAAACAGCATAGCTGATTAATCAGTTTAATTGGGAAATATTTTATCATTCCAGCTTATTTTCCTCATATTGGGAGGCTGAATCAGCTGCTGGTTCTCAGTCAGCAGTTAGATGAAGATGTGAAGCATCTGGGCAGTCATAAGTACATCGCACATCAGCTATCAGCAATTTATGTGAGTTTGTTTGACTTGGTCTTCATTCAAATCATTTTATCTATGTGATCTGTCCATAAAAAAAGTTTGATTCTGTGTATCATTCAAAGTTGTTTGTTTCTGGTACAGCAAGTCCTAAACTCTCTCAAAGATATTTTGCCATTATCCATCATAAGAAAGGATATTGAGGCTAATTTCAAGCAGCTGAAGATGTCTCTTTCGACAGAGGAAGGGTCCAAGCTGGATCCTCAGTTGCCAGCACATCACGTGAGCTGGTGAGAATGGTTTTAGTTCCATTTGTTTTACAATCAGCCAAAAGTAATCCAGCATAATTAATGAAAGTACTCTTCACAGGGTGTCAGAATTAACACAAAACGTGATATCGACGGTACTGTCACTCTCAGAAGAGCTCACCGAAGACCTCAATCCAGTCATGGAATTTGTCTCTAACCTCTCGTAACAGCTAGATCTACAGTGCCTGAAGTGGATGGTGAGAAATTGTCACGGAATGAAGTGATTCCCTTGAAAAATGTTTTGTGTCTTTTTTTGATTTATTCATCTGTACACACCACAGATAAGACTGTGATAATGTGATCCAGATATATTTCAAGACCTTGAAAAATGAAAAGAAACATTCTGAGTACTACCACTTATAAATAATTTATTTAGTTGCCAGCACATCACGTGAGCTGGTGAGAATGGTTTTAGTTCCATTTGTTTTACAATCAGCCAAAAGTAATCCAGCATAATTAATGAAAGTACTCTTCACAGGGTGTCAGAATTAACACAAAACGTGATATCGACGGTACTGTCACTCTCAGAAGAGCTCACCGAAGACCTCAATCCAGTCATGGAATTTGTCTCTAACCTCTCGTAACAGCTAGATCTACAGTGCCTGAAGTGGATGGTGAGAAATTGTCACGGAATGAAGTGATTCCCTTGAAAAATGTTTTGTCTTTTTTTGATTTATTCATCTGTACACACCACAGATAAGACTGTGATAATGTGATCCATTCTGACATTCTGACAGTACTCAAACATTCTGAGTACTACCACTTATAAATAATTTATTTTAACCATTTTAGATATTGTTTTGCATTGTTGGCTCATGATTTTTGAGTTTAATAAATTATCATTTCTAAAAAAAAAAAAAACAAAACTTGTGCAATAATGTATTTTATAATGCATCTGTATACTTGAAGTGACACTGTTGCACGTTCTTTCCATTCTGTACATGATGGTGCTAGCATTGTTCATCAGCATCACACATGTGATTACATATCCAAAATAAACTCAAACACGGTAATCAGAAGCGAATACCTTCTACATTTGTGGATTTATTTTTAATACATTTTAGAATTTATTATAATCAATGATTATATACATTATAATCTTATAATGTTATCACTTTAAACTATTTTCTATACATGTAAAATATTGTATAAATTAACCTTATTATTCGTAGTAGCAGTATTGCTGGTAAACTGATTTGCTCAAATGATGTAATATACCTCTCATGGGCTTACGTCAGACGTACAGTGCGCTCTCGTTGACGTGCGCGCGCCACGCGGCTATGTGGAACTGGGAGTAGCCAAATATATACGTGCAGTTTACATTAATCCTCTAATCAAGATGACAGCTGTCACTGGTAAGATTTATTAAGCTACGTTCGCGTTTTTGCATAGTTATCTTTATATATATAGTCTATATCTTGTATACAAGTCTATAATAAAGCCGAGAGGTCAGCATACACTATATCCCGATTGTCCTTTCTGTGCTTATTAGTTTAAATAATAAACTCAGTAGCATGCAAGCCTTGTTCTTAACCTGACAGTTTTGTTAACGTTTCGAGCCGGTTCAGCCATTCATATGAATGAAACTGCAGGTTCTCATAAGAGGCTTTTGTTTCAATATGGCACAGTAACAGAGAAATGGAAGAATTCTGATTGACACTCGAACTAGCCAATCAGGTTTTTGGTTTTGATTTGTTGACGTGCATCTCAGCCAATGGCATCCAAGATTAGGTCACTTGTCACCTTATGTTCTTGTGTGTGTTACCCGAGTTTATTTTTTTTATGTCTGCATCCAAACTACGTTAAAAGACGTGATTTTTTTCAAGTTAAAGTAGAAGCTAAATGTTTTTGATTAAAATATTTTGACAAACATTTTGCGCGTTTGCATTTACTATAGTCATATTATACTATGATTTTCTGCATATTGTAAAAATCACGGAAAAACACTGCAACAGGAGCTCTTAAATGCATTGATCTAGTTTCTGTTAATACAATATATTTTAAAACAAACAGCTTTGCCAACATTACAACAGTACCTAAGGATGTATTGCTTTGAAATATTCTTACAGTAAATTGATAATAGGAGTAAAAAGTTTGACAGCCACTGGGTTAGGCTGCATAGTATGAACACAATATATCCTGCATAGTAAGTAACAAGATACCAAAACCAATATTTTAGATCTTGTTTGTTCCATGTGAAGTGAACTGGGTAAATAAAATGCGAAGGTGTGTGATCTCTTTCTAGATGCATAGTGTTGCATTTTATTGTAAATTGCATATAACAACTTATTTGTATTTATATTTGATATTTGGTGTCTTAACAAATATTAACAGTATTATTGTCAATGATATAGGAACATTGATGTACTTACATGATACTCAATTGAATTATCATTAACATTTCTAAATTGTTTTTCTTTTGTTGCAATTCAGATGAGCATCAGTTTCTAGTCCAGCTATGATCTGAGAGGAGATGATAGCGGAGCCAACTTTACTGTCCAGATCGGTGCAAAAGTGAGACATCTGAAAACTACCTCTGCATTTTCATCATAAAACAGACTCAATACAGTTTTAGATTTTATGCAGGCTTATTCTGAAATATCCTAATTTAATTACATTTTATTATTCAAGGTGTTCTGTGTGTACAGATAAAGAACTGCCTGTTCATCCTGTTTTCAGAGAGAACTCAGTAGTTGACGTCTCTTCCTGTGCATCGGTGCATCACGTTTCAAGTGAGAGAAATGAAAACAGACAGAAGACTGTGGTAGGAGCTGCTAAAACCACAATGCTTTTTAAAAAAAAAAGAAAAGGAAAAAAACTAACAATAGGGTTTTACATCTCATATACTTTTATTATAGTACAACTGACTTCTTTTGAGATTTACTGTAAGAACATTTCTAATTTAGAACTATATTTTGTCATGTGCAGAGAGGAAAGAGGAAAGCCCGGGAATGCTCTGAGAATGCCAAAAGAAAGCATTCAAAGAGCAGTAATGGCAGCCTGGGCAGAGCAGAGAACGAACAGCTCAAAAATGGAGACGTGGAAGCCATCACACTGTTTGAGGTGGTCAGCATGGGCAGGAATGCAATGCAGGTACGTCCAGCATGATCAGCCCTGCTACAGATAACTACTTGGAAGGTCACAAAGTTCTTTTTAGGTCATACTGATTTAAACAGTTCTTTGTTATATGCATGTTTGGTTTGTTTTGTGAAAGGCTGTGGTGGATGACTGGATTGACGCTTATACTGGCGACAGAGACTCAGCACTGCTCGATCTCATCAGCTTCTTTATCCAGTGTTCAGGATGCAAAGGCAAGTTTCGTAATGTCTGTAATCTCTTTCACAACAGTGATGACTAATATAAGTAGATCATTTTCAGTGGTTTGTTTTTGTGGCTTGTGTCGTATATTGTAGTTCAGGATGTGAATTCTGTTTGTGCTTTTGTAGGAATGGTTACAGCAGAGATGTTTCAGAGTAAAAAGGGTACCGATGTCATGAGTAAAATGGTGGAGGATTTGGACGAGGTTAGACATCCAGCGTGCTCATCATTGATTACTTTCCCATGTTTCTTGCTCTTACTAATGTGTGTTTTTTTTTAAATCACAGGACACAGGTTTACAATATAAGAAGTTCCTTGCATTTCCATGGATTTTAACTGTCACGTGGCCTCTTGACATGGTACGGTTCAGGGCACTTCACGTAATTTTGCAAATTATGATCATGCTGTCCTTGGTGCCTCATTTGACTTTTTTTTTTTTTGGTGAAATATTATTACAATTTAAGTTGAAACTGTTTTCTAATTGAATGTATTTTCAAACAATTTATTCCTGTGATGCAAAGCTGAATTTTCAGCAGCCATTACTTCAGTCTTCAGTGTCACATGATCCTTCAGAAATCATTGTAATATGCTGATTTGGTGCTCAAGAAGAAACATTTGTTATTAATTAATTATTGTTGTAAATCATTATGCTGCTTTTTTTTTTGTTGAAACCATGATTCATTTTTTTCTGTATTCTTTGAATGAATATAAAGTTCAAAAGAACAGCATTAATTTGAAATAGAAATCTGTTGTAACAATGCAAACGTCTTTACTGTCACTTTTGATCAATTTAATGTGTCCTTGCTAAATAAAAGTATTAATTTCTTTGAAAAAATTTTTACTGACCCCAAACATTTGAACAGTAGTGAATAACACAATTTAAAATCCCAACTATTTTTCAATCTTGATCCTCTTTCCATCCTCCTTAGGACAGTGGCGAGTATCCCCTCATCATGTCCGGCCTGTACTGGAAGAGGTTTCGTTCACACTTCTGTGAGTTCGTATCGGTGCTAGTGGCCCAGTGTCAGAACTGTGTAATCTTTGACGGCTACCTCTTGAACACACTCATTTCACTGCTGACAGAGCTCTCCGATTCCAGAGTGCGTGCTTTCAGGCACACCTGTACGCTAGCAGGTAAGTTGCCCCGATGATTAATTCCACTTGACCTGAACCACACACACACAGACATCCCGAAAGCTGATGTTTTGCCACTGTTGTGTGTGTCTCTGCAGCAGTGAAGCTGCTCAGTGCTTTGGTGAATGTGGCTCTCAACCTCAGTGTCAGTGTTGATAACAGTCAGCGGCTGTACGAGGTCGAGCTGGCCAAGATGGCCAGCAAACGGGCTTCTCAGAGGCTGGACAGGATCCAGAGAAAGATCAGTGAGGTTAGACGGTGACAGCATGTCTGGTTACAGAGTTAAACATTTCTATGCACAGATCTTTCTGGAGTGTAGTCAGGGTCTAAAACTAACTCGCCAAGTATGAGTAAAAATTGGCTTTGGCGAGGAAGTATAACTAAAATAATATAATACATGGTCTAAATCACATTGTAAATATGATACTCTGACACGCACTGATGTAAGTGACTTGTACAATTCAAACAGGCTACTATTACTTAGTAGTAAATGTCTACTAAAGGAAATATTTGAGTTAAATTTTTAACAGCCATTTCTCTAGTCTTCATAGTCACATGATCCTTCAGAAATCATTCTAATATGCTGACTTTTTTGTGTTCAAGAAACATTTCTTATTATTATGAGTGTTGAAAACAGTACCGCTTGATATTTTAAACCAGAAACCATAATGAATTTTTTTTTGATGAATAGAATAGATTCTTTGATGAATAGAAAGTTCAAAAGAACCTCATTTATTTGAAACAGAAATCTTTATAAATATCTTTAATGTCACTTCTGATAAATTTAATTCATCCTTGCAAAAAAAATATTACTGACCACAAAACTTTTGAATGGTGGCGTTGATGTACAGGAAACAGTAAAGTCAGAATAAACAAACTGAATGAATTACTTTCATTCCTCAGATACAGGACAGGAAATGTGAAATTGAGAACATGATGGATGCCGTTTTCAAAGGAGTCTTCCTGAAGAGATACAGGTTATCTTTATTTTAACCACACTAGCCTTCACTTCCTTGAAAATAAAATAAAATAAAAACTATACCATTATAACTGCATTGTGACTTCCAGAGACGTGATTCCTGAAATCAGGGCCATCTGCATGGAGGAACTGACAGTGTGGATGAAGCTGTATAGTTCAGTGTTTCTAAACGACAGCTATCTGAAGTATGTGGGGTGGATGATGCATGACAAGGTGGGTGAGCCAGTAGCCGGGTGTTTAAAGAACAATTTATTTTGAAATGTTTAGACGTTTACCCATGTCAGCTGTTGTTGAGTTGATATTTGACTGCCTGTTTTATTTTTTAAATAATCTTCTACAGCAACCTGATGTGCGTCTGAAATGTGTGCTGGGACTACAGGCACTTTATCAGGATCAAAGTAGTTCCAAAATGGACCTTTTCACGATACGGTTTAAGGTAATGATTGCTTCCACATTCTCACACTATAGTTGTATCCCAAATGACACACTATACACTATGTACTATGTACTGTGTAGTGTATGAATTTTAGAAGGTTATTTTAGCCTCTCCCCTTCCACTACATTAGGAAGTGTAGTTTTCCACACTTCCATTTTTTTCAGGCAATTAAGTGCATCATCTATGTATTTGAAGTGCACTTGTGTCTTGTAATTTTCATTGTGAACACACTATTTATACCTCAAAATGGCTGCATGAACTGGGATACTCGTCATGTTCCTAGTCAGGCACAACACGACAGGTTTCTGCAAAATTTGTCTGTGAACTCTACACAAAAATGCTGTAAACCATGCCACATTCACATCCAATCAGAACATATTTGATGTGTGATATACAGTTGTGTGCATCACAGCTGAATGGCTCAAAGATACTTAAAAATGGATGAAGCTACTTAACATGATGCTACAGAAACCAAGCACCTTACAAAAGTTCCACTTGTTGCCATCACAGGTGATTAGAATAAAATCTCAAATTTTCATGACTACTATGTCTATCACATACCCAGTTAGGACATAGTGAAGTTTTAAGCTCAAAATGTACCTGCTGAGAGTAACTGCTGTAGAAAAATAAACTTCTTTATGGAGAGTTGTTTACTGGCTATAAGTTTGTCCTCCAGCTCTTACGGTCTTGCTGTTGTGCCCAAACTTCTCAAATGGACACGGTCCGTAAACTTCTTTGGCAGTTTTTAAGTTAAGGTCCAGTAAAGCTGCAGTGGGACAGCAGGAGGGCATGATTGCTGATTGACAGGCTGGAAAGCCCCTCAGGTTTAGCCTTGGGCTCACTGGCCTGATAGCTTCCCACAGGACCCCACCCTCACCGTACCCTCACTAACGGCAGCAAGCACATTAGCACAACCGTGATTTAAAGAGCTGTTTAAGTGTGCCGTGGGTCTTTAACTCAAGTCCTATTGTAGGTTTTCGAGATAAGATTGCTCTCATAGCGGGTACTTAAAGTGTTTACATGAGCGATTGAATGCTGTTTCTGTTATAGGAGAGGATGATCTCCATGACTCTGGATAAAGACCATGAAGTGGCCATACAGGCCATGAGATTGCTCATGGTCATCTCTCAGTAAGTATCTCCCCTTGCTCCTCATTCGGACTATTTCTCATAGAGTTTGATCATCCATACTTTGACTTCTCCTCTGTGAAGCGTATGCTGGGCTGTTCCTCATGTAATTGTTGAAATTGTTCCCTTTTGTGTCAGATCCTGTGAGGATTTTCTGAGTGCTGATGACCACAAGAATGTCTTCCAATTTGTGTACTGCTCCCACAGACCTCTAGCTACCACTGCGGGTGAATTCCTCTATAACAGGTCTGTGTTCATTGTCATTCTACAAAACCTACCCCTTTTGTGTAACACATGTACATATATGTACATGATAGCTGTAAGTAATTTGCTTACTTTAATTGATTTGCTGTAATGGTGTCATTTCTCTGCTCTTAGGCTGCTCAGTAACCATGAATTATCAAAGTCCAGAGATGGAGCCTCTGATCAGGAGAGGCACAGAGAGTTAGTCTTAGCTAGAGTCCGAGCACTGATCCACTTCCAGACCGAGAATGAGGTACGTTAACTCAAAGTGTGCCATGCTTAAAAATAAGATTATAAGTACATGTGCTCTGAGATCTGGTGGTTGTGCAGGCAAACCTGCATTTAAATTTTAAATAGAATTGTAAAAAATAAAATAAAATAAAATAAAATAATTTTTTTCTCTCCCCTCTGTCATAGCTGCATCAGCATGTGCCGTACCTTGTGGATAGTCTGTGGGACAGTGCAGGGGCTCTGCTGAAGGACTGGACCGGTCTTACCTCACTGCTCTTACCTCACACGTCCTGTCAGGAACAAGGCTAGTACTAGTACTTTAGTACACACTACAGTATACACTCCAGTATGCTTCTTTATTGTAATGCTGCATTATCAGTAGCTTTTATTACAGCGAAGCAGAGATTTCCATCCTTTAACAAATATTTACAAGTGTATATAATAAGTTAAATATTCAAATACCTCTGTAGTTTTGACTAATGTTTTAATGATTACTAAAAATAGAAATAAAAAGGACTGATTTCTATCCAGCATTATCTCCTCTATTTGAAACTCCACTGTGAGAGAGCAAACTGACATCTTATTTGTGCTGTGCGACGTGCTTTAACTACAGCTCTGAGCATAGCTGAGGAGGCCTTTGTGATTGAGCTCATATTGGCATCAGTAAGGCAGGCTGCAGAGGGCCCTCCTTTGTCCGGGAGAGGAGCAGGTAAAAAGGTAAGACTTCCTGTTGCATTTTTCATTAGATGGTGCTCTGATCTAACAGGGCTGTCAGATATATTTCACTTTTTTGTGTTTATACTCCAGCTGTTCACTTTCTTACAGACACATCCAACACATTGTGGAACTGTTACTTGTTGCTAGTTACATATCTATGTTTATTTAGGTGGTAAATTCTAAAGAGAAAAAGTTACAAATTGATGACTGCACAAAACTCACTGAACAGTTCATTAAAGTGCTGCCTGAGCTGTTATCCAAGGTAAAAGAAAAAACACTGCACTGTTCATTTTTACCATAACTGCTTCTTCATAAATTAACTTGATGTCTAATCTCATCCTCTAGTACTCAGAGGATGCTGAAAAAATCACCTCCCTTCTAAAAATACCTCAGTATTTCCAAACGGACACCTGTGATCATGAAAACTCACTGGTGAGTGTTTGTGTTTCATCTGATGCGCTAATGACTTCACTGTGTTATTTATGTATATGTGTATGATTTGGTGCTCAAGAAAAATTACAAATTTTTCAGGATTCTTTGATGAATAGAAATTTCAATAGAACATGTATTTGAAATAGAAATATTTTGTAATATTATGTCTTTACTGTCGCTTTTGATCAATTTAATGTATCCTTGCTAAATAAAAGTATTAATTACTTTAAAAAAACAAAATGACCTCAAACTTCTGAACGGTAGTCTATGTATTATTTGGTAGAGTTTTCTAGAGCAATTCGTGTCTGGTTTTTACATAGCCTATATTTGTGTTTTGGTGTAGTGTGCGCAGGCATTGCTGGCTGAGCTGGAGGCTGCGGTGGACAGACACACACATGCTGGACTGCTGGAGGCGGCTGCTCGTTCTTACCAGAGCCTCTGTGCTCAGGATTTGCCCTGGCACTCTCTGGCCCGGCCCAGCTTTGACCGGTTCATCCAGCACTGGACAGACACACTGGGAACACGGTTAGGAGAATCACTGAGTGTGAGTACAGTAATGGACCACTAAAAACTCTAGATGTTCTTTTACAAGCTTGTACCAGATACATACATGCATTTTAAATGGATCTTGACATCAATAAAGAATAAGTTGATTCATGACAGATTTATGACTGTATCTTTTACACAGCAGAATGGACTCTAATTAAAGGTTCTTCCTTTCATGTACAGGACGGTTGTTTCACTGCAAACGAGGACAGCACTTTGGAAATTCTGTCCACACTGAAGAAACTTAATGCGTTCAATATGTAAGCAGTTTCTAGTTTATTCTATCCACATACACTCTGCAGTATTTGCGATAAGCACATTTCTTTGACCAATTTAATTATCAATCTGTGTTTTACATCCCTGCTGAAAAAGCTATGTTTTAAGAATGTTTTCCTAACATTCTCATTACATTGTAAATAAAAAAGCTACTTCTGAAAGTTCTGCAAACATTCAAAAAGTAATTATTTTTATACTTTAAGAACATTTTACTTTGGTTATATGAACATTCTGGAAATGTTACCAAGATACTGAGATGCTCAGATGCTTTTAATTGCATTATTAACAACTACTTGTTCAGTTCGGAAAATCTTAATGTGTCTTAATTTTGTCTGATGCCATTCTAATGTGATATTCTTATTTTATTTTTGCTTTATCAAATCTGTCTAGTGCTCAGGATCTGTCTAAATGGAGCCTTTATGAGCTGGGGACCAGACTCCTGGATGTGGAAATAAAACATGGTGGTCTTCCAATGGAGGTAACATTATTAGCCTTGTACCAAACCCTCTACTCCTTTATTCCTTCAACAGGATTTGTCTCTCTAATCTGTATTTCTTGTAGGTGACAATTGAGGCTCTGCGCTGCATGTGTAGCTGCATCCTTTGGAAGCTCAACACCTTTGGAGAAGGTTTGACCTCCAGGGTGAGCCATCTACCTTTCTCTTCCACTCCGATTGAATTGCGACTGCTGTCATAAACGGCTGAGATCATGCTTAGAATGGTAATATCTACAAGCACAGACGTAAGGCCAGAGTTTTCCCTTGGGTGATTAATTAAACAAGCGTTTTTAGGCATGCAAGACTCTCTGTCTACAGAGTTGCCGTATGATCCATCACAAAGAGCTGTGTCCTTTAAACCTGCCACATTGCATTTCAAATATCAACACAGAGACTCTAGGGTTATGTCCAGCGGATTTTAATAAGTGATAGAAAGCGATTGATCGTGAGTCTTTAGGAAAAGTCAGTGCTGGTGATGGATTGTAGGGGGCGTAATGGTTGCGCTCTTGTGTGGACGTTTCACCGCTAATAGCTGGGCTTCTTATTAGGCCTGTGTTTCCATGCAGTGCACGGGGTAATCATATCTCCCCACCTCTAACCTTTATGCGGTGAAATATTGGTGGCCATTAAGACTGCTGTAGGTAAGATTCACTCAGTGCTGGCTCAGAAATGGCCGCTTTCTCCTCTGGCCTCGTCATCAATAACTGACAGTGCAGGCGGCAATTTTTGGCCCAGGCAGCAGCTCGGCTCAATCTGCAATTCTAATGTGAATGGCGACCCGAGGTGAGGGGGGATAAAAGACGTGTTCAGCATAAAATTGGGATGTATGTCCGATTCAAAAGAGTAATTTAGCTGAATTGACATTGCGACTACGTGGGATGGAGGAACCGATCCGGCACGTCCACGCCGGAGCTCCACGTGCACGTAATTATGAAAGAATATTTTACACAAGAGACCGGTGGCACTGCTCACAATGACGCTTTCATCAGTCTGCATCAGTTAGAGCCCTGCTGCAGTCATCTTTCTGTTGCTGTTATTTTGCTGTTATACTCTTTCTATTCCTCATATGACTTTTCCCCAAAGTGTCAAAACTTTGTGTACTTTCTCAGTCAGTATGGTCATATGCATACGTAATAATTAAATAAATTGAGCAAAATGCTCAGTACAACTACAAATGTAGTATAAATCCAAAGCTGCATAGGAAAAGAATTGTCATCGTTATGGATGTGTGTTTTTGTGTGTGGTTTTAGGAGTCCGCCCTCCAGCAGAGAAGCCAGCTACGTGCCTTCTGTGAGAAATGTTACCGCTGTCTCTCGCACGCTGAGCAGCTTGTACGAGAGCAAGTGAGCATCACGTTTCTCTCTCTGTTCACAGCATACCACTTGATTCAGCCCTTTCTTCAAAGTGGATTATTCCAAGCACATCAGAGCGTATTGTCTGTGCGTTAAGCTGTAGCATGTGTGCCAGTGGGCCGATGCGCTGGCATTGTTTGAATCCTGTTTGGTTTGACTTTAATTTCTCGCGGAGTGCCCTTGGCACCTGCGTTGTGTTTTAATGAATCCTCACTCCATGCCAAGGCACACTGACAGCAGAAAAACACACTAATTGAAACTAAAACAAATGGAAGTTCCGGACAATCTTTGTTTATTTCAAGACCGCTTTGAATTGTCCATGTTCTCAGTGAATTGATTTGATATATTTTGAGGGCTGCAATTTTAATAAAGTTAATTACATCAATGAATTATGTCAATGAATCAATCAAATTAATTGTAGCAGATGATTAAAGCACTAAGTTTAAAAAAAAAAAACTGAGAGCTTCAGCTGTTGCATTGCATCTTTTTCTTTTTTTAGCATCTTCAGCCATGAGTTTTCGATTAATTGTTTATTTCAGTTTTATTTATATAATTAATTACACTTCACATATTTTATATTTGTAATGTAATGGAAACACAAAATAATTGAGTACATTGATACACTCTTTTGGAGAAAGATATAATTAGATTGATTAGGTTAGTAGATTTTAGATAAGAATTTACTGTGTTATATTGTCTACTTTATATCATCTGTTGATCAGGCACTGTCTGTTTTATGTTGTTTTTCACAAAGGCCTTCATATGTCTGAGTGATGTTCTCATAGCTCATAATTACCAGCTTCAGATGTGGGATTCGTCTGCAGGCACTCCATTGCTGTACACCCCTGATCCCAAACTCCAGAAAGCTCTTTTTTCCTTCGTCGTGGAGCATGTCTTCACCAGCCCTGAGCAGGACACCCACAGTAGTAAAGGTTTTTTTCTCTTTTCATTTCAGAAAATCTTAAGGGTTCATGTTTGGCCTGTGCTCTGCTGTGGGCTGCCATGTGGGCGGCCTCAACAGATCCAGTGTTAGCTAAGTGTTTAGAGAGTTGTTGCCCTTTAGATCAATTTGTTTTTGTATGTTCTTGAGATTTAACTGAGGTGTCTTTGAAAAAGTGCATAAAACAAAAGAACTTTCATGATGCTGAAATTCAATGACGCACTTAACATTGGATGTGCACATAGGATGCTTTTAAGGGAGGGCCCAAAATGAGGATAAAAAGTAGCTGTGGTGAATTGATGAAATGGTGAAATTGATGAAGTGCTTCCCAGTTGGCTGATAACTTGATGAGCAGTTTGCAGTTCAAATCAAACTATCTACTAAAGAAAACATCTAATGCAATTTTTTCGTGGAAAATGTACTATTACGAGATTATCTGGAATACCTAAGGGTATCATAAAATTCTGCCACTAAAATTCACAGGGCCTGGGACAAACTTTTTATGTGTGGGTGTGGGCTCCCCCTCCCCTGGGCCCAATTAAACCACAGAGACGAAAGCATGAGGAACAAAATCACAACGGCTCTTGATGCTTTTGTGACAGACGCAGTTTCCCTGAGAGACAGAGGTTGTCTCATTCTATATGTGATGCTGTGAGTGACACAGTGACATGTGCTGTTTGTCAGAAATATGCAAGGAAAAACAGCTACATAATTCCTATCTTATAGAGGTAAATAGTTTTTTTTAAATAATAATAAAAAAAAAAAAATCTAAATCCATCTATATATGAGTGTGTATGTATACTGTGTGTATATATACATATAATGTTAATAACATGAGAAATGATTTTTGAGGACCAAATCAGCATATTAAAATGATTTCTCAAGGATCATGCAACACTGAAGACTGGAGTAATGGCTGATGAAAATTCAGCTTTTCCATGAAAAGTCCATGACCGGAATGCATGACATTTTTAAATATATTCAAAAATATAATAGTTATTTCACAAATAATAATATAATATTTAATTTAATTATGCAGTATTTTTAAACTGCATTTTTGATCACATACATGCAGACAAATACATGAGCATAAACATAACACTTTTTTACAAAAAAGTCTTTCCAACCACACACACACACACACATATATGCAATACATTTAGCACCTTTGTATTATATATACAATACTAAGGTGTCATTGATAGATAAGAATAGTCTCAATTTCACCAGCAGATGGCAGTCTGCCTCTACACCTGCCTATGTTAGGCACAAAATAATCACATAAAGAAACACAATCAGCCTCATTCTCATTCTATTAGTGAAAAGCACTGTAGCAGAACACAGTATTTGTTTGTGGTTAGTTAATCTAATTGCACCCCCACCTTCTCACTGACCTATCAAACATGCCATTGAATCAAGGAGTGAAAGTCTAACAGATAATGCATTATGATAATAATCCCTTATGATGTTATTAGGTGAGATCGTACAGAAGTTGCACTTGTAAATGAACAGGTAATTAGATCAACACAGAGCCCTGTGGAATTATATTTAGAAGCCCACACAAAAGCCAAGAAGCTTTGGTAGGCATATATCTAAAATGACTACATATGCTGAAAAATCAATATTAGCTTTACTAAACTAGTTTTTTTGTGTTGTTTTTGGCTTTGTGTTGCTTTAAGACAAACACAAGCAGCCTATGAGATAACATCAGATTTTGCAGTATTTGATTCGAAATCAAGTGTGACTGAAGCAAATCGTATCAATTCTATAAATATTTCAGAGTCGTCGATTCGTGCTGACACAAATTCCTTACCTCTTGAAAAATGCAATATAAGCTTTTGCTGGTAACATGTAATAAAAAGCAATTTAGTTATTGGATTTTCTTCACGTCACTAATGCTGTTATGAAACCTCTCTATTAAGTGATGGCTTCAGGACCAGGCAGGACGACGACAGACACATTCTGTTTCCAGAGCAGAAAATGTTGTTAACTTTAGCTCACCTCAGGAAAGCATTTAATTTATAAGATTCGAGTATCATAATTATACGGCTCTCTTATTGAATCTCAGCCCCTCTGTTTCAACCTGTCTCTCTCTCTCTCTCTCTGTGTGTCTGTCTGCGCAGTCAGTGAGAGTGAGTGTGGAGACGGACAGCTGGAAGACTTGCACCGGCGGAGAAATCTTCTGGCGGCGTACTGCAAGCTGATAGTGCACAGTGTGCTCGAGATGAGCATGGCTGCTGAGGTTTTCAAGCAGTATGTGAAGGTATGACACTTCACTCAGGTTTCCTGTCTCTCTCATTTTATACTTAATCCGTAGTTTGTTTCTCAATATAAGTTCTACAGATAGTTTGGTGGAATAGCACCACAACATGCATTCAAACAGGAAATTGCAGTGTTCACAGCAAATATTACTTTTTTTCAAACTTCTAATATTCTAGTTCAAAAATACATTTATACGTATCTGAAATAGTATTACATTTATAAGTAGTGTTAAAAAAATTTATTAAATTAAAAAAATCTATTTAGCATACTGTTTAATATTAGTAATAGTTTTAGATGGAGGTGGTCTGTTCATTTGGCTCCTCTTTTCATAACTGGAGCTCTTAGGCTTTGAATTTACGATAGGTGGGATTTACGGTGCGTGTGTTTGTGTATTTGTGTGTTTGTTTGACATGTTTGGAATGCACGCTTAGCTCGGCCAGCACAACATTCTCAGATGAGGCCTTCGAAGGGAAAACTACACACACACACATGCTCACTCTGAATGCCATCATTTTGAACGACAGCTTTCAAAGTTGAGGCAAATGATGTAAAGTTGGCAAGCGCCGCAGACCCCTCATTTGAACAGCTTCCTCCCGGTAACAAGTGGTCACTTCTCTGTACCACAGTGGCACATTTCTTGACCGCTTAGAGCGAGTATGTATTAAAGCAAATAGATGGTAATAAATGAAGGTTGTTGTTTGGCAATAGGTGGGTCAGTGGCTGAGGGTGGTTAATGCAGACCCTCACCTCTACAGTGTTTGGGTTTAATAAACAGCATACTGCATTAACTGGCAGAAGTCTCAAAGCCACTCAGTGTGAGAGTGGATTTGTGTGAACCAGCTGAGTTTTCAGCAACAGAGATATGTCGGAAATCATACTTTCTGAGAGAAACCCCCACCATCAGAGCCGGCACATAACCCGTGCTACTTATGACTGCTTTTGTGGTCCAGGGTCACATATATATTGAAACACTTCACTTAAAGAAATATTCTGTGTAAAGAATATGCAGCTCAAGCTTTATCATTAAGTATAATATTTAACTATCATTAAAGCACCGTTTACATGTACAAACTCCATACTTCACAAAAAAATAAAATAGTAATTGACAGTATAAAAACATATTTAAAACATACATTTACTGATACTTTAGTATGATTTGATTTTAATATGTTTAAATATTTCATCAATAATGCAAGGTAAATATGTTCCAGAAGCCAAAACACAGAAACTGTGTAAACATTGTCTTGTCATACACTACTGATCAACAGTGTTGGGGAGTAACTAGTTACATGTAACGGAATTACGTAATTTAATTACAAAATAAAAGTAATTGTAATCAGTTAGTTACTGAGAAAAAATGTGTAATTAAATTAGTTACTTATGAAAATGTTAAGGATTACAAAGGGGGTTACATCTGCTTTTTTTCACACACACTCCCACATACAGATTTAATTGATTTTTTTCATAAATTGCAGTGACTGCTCTAAAATATGAAACTCCAATGTTTCAGGAGTTTAGAACATGCTTATTCGACAACTCGATAAAAAAAAAGGATCGAATGGATTTTTATTATTGTAGGGTGGTTGTGTCCACACACTGCTAAGATACATTTATATGCAAACCATGTACAAGTGAATTTTGCATCCAATGTCTACTTTAAAATTGAAATACAATCTTAATTCAAGTGACGAAGAATTTCGAAAGTCTGACAGTAATCAGTGTTGAGTACTACTGTAAGGTTTACCCTGCCTAGTTTACATGTTTAAAAATGATAAACAGTTGAAAACATTCAAAATTTAGAAAAGAACACATTAATTAGAAGTGACAGTATAGACGTTTATAATGTTACAAAAATATATTTGAAATAAATACTGTTCTGTAGAACTTTCATCAAAGAATCATGAAAAATATGTGAAATTTCAGCTTTACAAAATTCTGCTTTTGTATCACAGGAAAAAAATGACAGTAAAATATATAAAAATAGAAAAGAGTTATTTTAAATTGTAATAATATTGTACAATATTAGTGTTTGATAAAAATAAATGCAGCATTGGTGAGTGAGTATAAGAGACTTCTTTTACAAACATTTAATAATCATACCCTCCAAAGTTATGAATGGTAAGTGTATATATTAAACTAAAACCCTAAAATCAGAGGAGATGATCCTCAGCAGGATCATTTGGACAACTAAATAGCTCAACTCTTTATAAAGCTTTATATTAGCGAAGTTCTTTTAAAGAAGAATTCTTTAAGAAGTAATTTCTTTAACAAAAATACAAGCGTGATGCTGCATTGCTGTCACTTATCTGTGATAATTGACATCACAAAATGGTTTTGACCTTGATTATTCCTCTAATAATGAAGTCATGAAGTGAAGTATGACACATTGTATGATATATGTATGGTATTTTGGTATGTTTGAGCATAATTATCACCATATTAGAAGTTCAAAAAACAACAACAAAAAAAAAAATCTTAAACCTCTCATGACTAATAGACTACACTTCCAGAGTCTTATCCTGAGGGCCAGACAGACTTATGGGTAACGTGCTTTCAGTATGCCACAGGCTTTCATTCCTAGGCGTGAAGCCATATGGCAGACATGGAGCCTGTATCGCTCACTGCTATCACATCTCCCCTGCAGTACTACAATGACTTCGGCGACATCATCAAAGAGACCCTGAACAGGACACGGCAGATGGACAAGATGGAAAGCGCACGCACGCTGGTGCAGTGCCTTCAGCAGGTATGGAGGCTGCAGTCCTTCACCGGTGCTCTCTCTCATGTGACGTGCCGCTGCGTGGCACATCTGCTCAGCCGGTTGTCCCAGGCCCCTGTGCTCTCTGCTCTCTGATAGGCCCCTGCAGCTGTCGACACCTCAGAGACACAATGAATCCACTCTCCTGCCATCACATCATGCTCAGTGGGGGAACGTTCTAGCAGCTCTTTCACTACTTGGATAGCTTAATGGTAGATCCTGTGCTTAGGAACGACATGGAAGCATTGCTCACACACATATAAACAGCTCTTCAGACTTTGCTTTGTTCTAAAAAAAAATTATATATATATATATATATATATATATATATATTAGAACAAAGCAAAGTCTAAAGAGCTGTTTATGTATGAATGAGCAATGCTTCCATTAATATATTTAAAGGGGTCATATGATGCGATTTCAACTTTTCCTTTCTCTTTGAAGTATTACAAGCTCTTGGTGCATAAAGATCTGTAAAGTTGCAAAGACTAAAGTCTCAAATCCAAAGAGATACTCTTTATAAAAGTTAAGAGTCAGCCACACCTACCTAAAACAGCTCGTTCTAACACGCCCCCACATATCTACCTCACT